TCCAATAGCCACAAACTGGTGACCCCGACGTGATCGCGCGGCGTTTTTTGTTTTTGTTTGCGCGCGTGACCTCTTGTGTAACCTTACGCGCGCGTCTAAATAAACCGCCGACATGCCTGGTGGCTCAAGTGATTCCCCTGCGCGCAATCCGGACGGCGGCGTACCATCGCGTATTATCGAGATACCTGCGCTTTCGCGAGTCGGAATTAGGTCCATATCGTTATGGAAAAAGAAGCCAGACCTCTGGTTCGTGCAAATGAAAGCTCAATTCCTCACCGCAGGCATAACTGTAGACGACACGAGGTATAATTATGTGATACAATGCCTCGACGACGACTCTTTGTCCGAAGTCAGTGATATCATACTCAATCCGCCCGCGATGGATAGATACGCCGTGCTAAAAGACAGGTTAATGAGAAGCTTCGCGGACAGCGCCGATAAAAAACTGCGTAAACTATTAAACGAGGTCGACCTAGGTGACCGTCGCCCTTCGCAATTGCTCCGCTGCATGCGGGATCTCGCGCAAAATGGCGCAACGGAAGAAGTAACGGCAAGGGCGCCCCCCCCTGCCACAACAGGTACAGGCAATATTAGCGTCCAGCAAGCACGAGCTTGAGGAACTAGCGCAATTAGCGGACCGAATAACGGATGTGCTTGCCCCTAGCGCCATGGCCGTCGCAACGGTTGCGCTGACGAAAATTAATACTCGAGATTCGCAAATATCCGCGCTTACTGAACAGGTGAAGTAAATTGGTAGCTTATTTATCGCGCGACAGATCGCGGGCCTCGCGAAATTCTCGTCGCAGAAGCCGCTCTAAGTCCCAATCCACGAGCAAGCCGTGCTGGTATCATCAACGCTTCGGCGGCAGAGCAGTGAAATGCACGCAACCATGCAGCTGGAAGCCGACGGCGTCAACAGAGCAGGAAAATCAGTAACCGAACTATCCCCGACGGCAGGAGGTTCGGCGGTGGTGAATCGCCGTTTGATGGTACGAGACCGCGTCACCAATTTCCTGATGAACACGGGCGCTGATGTCTCGACCATACCCGCCTCAAGGCGCGACCTCGCGCACTTAGGCAAGCAGGTGCTCTATGCAGCGAACGGAACGATCATCCCTACATATGGGCAGAAGTTACTACGGCTCGACTTAGGATTCCGCAGAGTTTTCCAATGGCCCTTCGTTATCGCCGAAGTGGACACGTTTATAATTGGCTCGGATTTTCTGGCGCGTTATAATTTGCTGCCTGACATCCGGCACAAGCGGCTAATTGATGGCGACACGTTCCTCAAGGTCAACGCGCAGCTCGTTTGCAGAACCGTACCAAAGCTGACAGCCTTCGCCGACGACTGCCCTTTCAAAGAGATGCTAAAGGAGTTCCCCGAGAGATAACCCGAGCATCGGTTACGCACAAACAAGCCACACATGGAGTAGAACATGTCATGGAGACAACAGGTCCCCCGGTGTCAAGCAAAGCCAGACGACTCTGCCCAGAGAAATTTAAAGCAGCCAAGCAAGAGTTCGAATATATGATGCAACAGGGTTTATTCATGCCTTCCAAGAGCCCTTGGGCCAGCCCACTGCACCTGGTTAAGAAGAAGAACAGCGACTGGCGTCCGTGCGGGGATTACCGCAAGCTCAACGAGGTAATCGTTCCGGACCGTTACTCAATTCCATTTCTTCAAGACAGCACATATTTCCTTCATAGTAAAACCGTATTTTCCACGATCGATCTAGTACGCGCATATCAGCAGATTCCAGTTCGCGAATCAAATATTCCGAAAACTGCTATCATCACACCATTCGGGCTTTTCGAATTTCCATACATGACCTTTGGACTTCGTAACGCAGCTCAAACTTTTCAACGATCATGGATCGGGTAACCGTGGGACTCGATTTCTGTTTTTACTTATATTCTAATCGCTTCGCAGGACGAAACTTAGCACAAAAAGCACTTAAAGATTCTGTTCGGTAGACTGCAACAACATGGAATAACGATCAACCCGAATAAATGCGTGTTCGTGTTCAGACAGAAGAGTGTCAACTTCCTTGGACATGTGATCAGCGCCGAAGGCATCAAGCCCTTGCCCGAAAAGGTTCAAGCAATTATTGATTTCCAGGAATCAGCTACTGAAAAAGGACTTCGACGATTTCTGGGAATGCTAAATTTTTACAACCGATTTTTAAAGGATATCGCAAGCATACAGGCACCATTGCTAAAGGTAATTTCTGGGCGTAAACGCAACAACAATGCGAAAATCGAGTGGACTTCTGAGCTCAAACAATCCTTTCAACGAGTCAAGGAACATCTCGCTCAAGCCACCTCGCTCGCATTTCCAGACAGCAATGCAACACTCTCGTTGCAAACAGACGCCTCAGACAAAGCAATCGGCGCGGTATTGCAACAGCACAGCAACGGATTTCTCAAATTCAGCTTCTTTTCAAGGAAACTCACGCCATGACACCAGAGAGAGTGAACGGAAGAAGTAACGGAAAGAACGACCGTATCAGCGCCGCGACGGACGCATGCAGCGCCGCAGCTAACGTTCGCAGCGCCGCGACCAACGCTCGCAGCGCCGCGACTAACGCTCGCAACGCCACATGACCAGCCTTCGGGGATGCCCTGGTGCTATTGTAAGGGGCGCCTTTGTGGAGGATTTGGGGATCTGGATGGGGAGGGCGCACGGTGCTCTCACCTACCGTATCACTCAGATTCTAACGGGGCATGGGGTCTTTGAATCCTACTTATACAAGATTCGACGGCGGGAATCCGATCTGTCTTTTCTGTCGAGCGGCAGTGGACACGGCAGCGCACACTCTTCTCTTCTGTCTGGCTTGGGCGGAGCGAAGGAGTGGGCTGCTGGAGATCGTGAGGGTTGATAGAACCTTCCGGGCAGTGGTAAGGGCCATCATGCGTTCTCTCGAAGCGTGGTCTGTTTTTGCGGACTTCTGCGAGGTGGTATGCGGCGGAAGGAGGATGAGCGCGCTCGTGAGCGGGGATTAAATCCGCCAGGGAGTGCGCTGATCTCTCCTCCGTATATGCATAGCTCCGATGAAGAGCCGTAGTGGCTCTGCGCCGCTAGTGTATAGGTGTGCGTATGCGGGTGTACGTATTTTTGTATATATTCCTGTATATATAGTTCTGTATATAGCTGTGTGTTGAGAGCGAGATGTGTATAAAATTATGTTAATTAATTAATGTCTTATGTTCACGTTGAAGTGAGTCGCTACTCACTTTTATGTATTTTTGCGGAGAGGCAGTATTATGCTGCAGAATAGTATTAGTGAACTCGTATGGCGGGAAAGAGCATACTAGCTCTAAAGATTGGGGGATATCCTGATGATATGCAAGAAAGCGGTTCCGGGATACCCTCCTTTTGTCTGTACGGTAGTATGCAAAAGGGGGGAGTTTTTAGTCGGTAGGCGGCCGCTCCGGTGTATTCCTCGGGATCACGGGGCGGTTGAATCCGGCACATCCAGTGGTGCGGATCGCTGGATGTCTTCCCTCCCCGATGGGTGTCCCTTCGGGGTCCCCCTTGGCTAGCGAAGATTTTCTCCTCCCTCGTAAAACAAAAAAAAAAGTAACAGTGAAAGCGAGGCTGAAACTATCGCTGAGATAATTCAAAAGAGCAAGAGATGTTCAAAAACTCTACAGACTGATGTGCCTAATGAAAAGAATTTTACAACGCTGCAGGCTTTTGAAAAAACACATCAATCATTATTCAATGTACTCCATAATAAAGGCGAGCGATTCAATTGCGCATTAAAAAAATGATGTGGAATATTGGATATTTACACTTAACGGAAACTATAAGAATCAATACACTGTCGCAGACTTGTATCAGATTATAACACGCAAGCATCGAACAATCGATATGCGACCCGTCGAAGTTACTTCCGTGATCGCTGAAAAACTCTTGGTATACAGCACGGTATATAGCAACGTAAAGATCGCAAGTCCGGTGAAATTCAAAATAAGTAATTCAGTACGTGTGAGCAAATATAAAACCGTCTTCGAGAAAAGTTATACACCAAATTGGACTACCAAGTGTTGTTTAAAATGCAGCATACTGATCCTATAATCTATCTACTGGACGACTGTCGCGAAAAATCTATCTCTGGAGCGTTCTATGAACATGAATTACATCGCGCGGCTTATCCGAACGTGGAGAAAATATTGCGCAAGAGAGGAGATGAGGTTTACGTAAAATGATTGGGATTCGATGCATCAATTCTTGGATACATAAGGATAATATAGTTTAATTCGTACAAACTGTATTTTAACGCTGCATCGATCTCTCGCCAAACAAAAGATCTTTCCACGTTATTGTCAGTGTTATTGCTAGTGCTCGTGTAATCACCACCAAAATGCAGAAATCGTCTTCCTAATTGAATCTTTGTACTCTCGAGTCGTGCAATTGTAACGATTAGAGATTGTTTGTATCCAGTGGAGAGCCGCGCTTGACATGATTGCATTCTTCAAGCTGTTTAATAAATCATTATTCATTGCACTCTTCTATCCATGCGAAACATTCCTTCAAGGAAGCAATTTGTTGGAATCGCTT